CTCGATGACGGGCTTGGCCACCATGCCGAAGACGTCGTCCTGGGATGCCTGGGTAGCGCCGAGGGCTGAGGGGCAGAAGTGGCGGCTGGCGCCCCTTCTGAGCATCGTCGAAGCGATCCCTGTCCCCACTGGCGTGGCCTTGTCCCCACTGGCCGATTTGCCTCCCTACATGGGCGTATATAGGTATATTTGTCCATGTACGTGCATATTAGGGGGCCACCTGCGAACCCTACCCCTACCCCCCACGATTTCTGAGGGGGAGGATGGGGTTCACTTCGTTCGGGAGCTCCCGAGCGAAGTGAACCCCACCCTCCCCCTCAGAAACCGTGGGGGGTAGGGGTAGGGTTCGCAGGTGGCCCCCTACATGTGTCCATATGTGTGTCTACGTGTAGCCCAGACACTGCTTGCACTTTGGGGTTCTTGCTTCAGGGACTGGGCCTGTGCGCCGGTCTGGCCAGCTCGTGGCCGCCCGTCGCCGCCGGTCGCCGCACAGTTTTGATGACGACTTCCACTGTGCGAGGCTCGCGACTGGGACTGCACAGGGCAGTTTTTAATACATCGGATTCTTGTTATACATGCATATATGTGATTTTTAATCCATGATCGATGTATGAGCAAATTCATGCATGAACTCATCGCTGTTTTGAATACTAAATCCCTGCATTTGTAATACACGATCCGCACGCGGAGCATGCATTAAAAACGGCACTGTGCGCCCGTCTGCCGGCGTGTGGCCGCCCGGCGCCGCCCGTCGCCGCCGTCCGTCGCCGCTACGACTTCGACTGTGCGAGGCACGCACTTTCCTTGCTTTGCATTGCTGTACATTGCCTTGCATTGCCTTGCATTGCCTTGCACTGCTTGGCATTGCTCTGCATTGGGTTGCATTGGTGTGCATCGCATCGCATTGCTTTGCATTGCGTCGCATTATTGCGTATTGCTTTGCATTGCTGTGCCTTGCGTTGAATTGTGCTGCATTGATTCACATTGCTTTGCATCGCATCTCATTACGTTGCAGTGTTTCGCCTGGTGGGTGTTGCATTGTTTTTCATCGCTGTGCCTTGCGTTACATTGCTTTGCATTCCTTTGCATTGCTTCGCATTGCTTCGCATTGCTTCGCATTGCTTCGCATTAATTTGCAGTGCCTTGCATCGCTTTGCATTGCTTTGCATTGGTTTGCATCCCGTTGAATTGTTGTTGCACTGCTCTGGATTATTTTACGTTGCGCTGCATTGCTCTGCATTGTTTTGTATTGGCATTGCGTTGCATTGCTTTTCATTGCAATGCATTGCTTTGCATTGCTGTGAACGGCTTTGCATCCCATTGCACTGCTTTGTACTGGTTTGCATTGCATCGCATTGCTTCGCATTGCTTTGCAGTGCTTCCCCTTTCTAGAAAGTAGGCTCTGCGACCCTCCCCTCCTGACTTATCGGTACCAACTGGGACACTGCAAAGTACATCTGATTATGCCTCATCGCTCATTTTGCATATGAATCTATTTCATCCCAAGGAGTCCCGTTGTTGACCCCCCCTTCGCCCCTGTCAACTAATCCGCCACCGTGCCTCTGGCACGAAGTGGAGTTCCCCGAGGCTCACGCTGTGCTGCTGCTGCGATCAAGATTGTAGTTTCTTCTTGGGGCTGGACCACCAATTTCCCGGGCGCTTCCGGGCGTTCTCAGGCGCTTTCGGGGTGTTCCACATGGGCCTCAGAGACGGTTGCACCGCCCCAAACGACCTGGAGAACGTCGCGGAGCCCACCACCAAGCGCCCAAGACGACAGCGCTTCGTGGCCCCATAGGAACCTCCACCGAAGGCCCCAGTGGCTGCATTCGAATGCAGTTCCCCCACCCAGTACAAGGTTTCGTGGCACATAGGGGGCTCCACCGAAGGCACCAATCGCAAGGTTCGCATGCGTCCCTCCCGCCCAAAACAACGTTTCGTGGCCCATAGGGAGCAGCTCCATTGAAGACGATAGCCACAACTGCTGCACTCACAACTGCATGTGGCTGGGTCTTTCTCCAGGCTAAATTTTCTTTCCTGGGTGACGGTCGTCACCAGGGGAGGGGGGGATCGGGCGGGAGGGTAACGGTAACGGCAGCCGCGGCGTGCAGCCGCCAGGGCTCGTCCGCGCCACCAGCGAATCAATCACCTGTGTGCACCACAGTCCCTGTGCATACGACCAATGCCCAATGTCTGCGTGCAGTACAGCGCCGCCTACGTACACCGCCGTGCCTCCGTACACCACAGCAGCCGCGTGCATCGTAGCACCCCGTCGCCGATGTACACCGCAGTGACTGTGTATACTGCAGTAGCCGTGTGTGCAACAGCGACTGTGTACACAATATTACCATAGTGCCTGCGTGCACCAGAGCGCGTGTGTACACCTCAGCGCCTGTGTACATCACAGCAACCATGTGTACCGCAGCGCCTGTGCATACCATGATGCGTCCGTGCACCACAACGCCTGTGCACACCAGCATATCAAGCGTGCCAGCGGGCACAATAATAGCTTGCGAGGCCTCGTTGCGGGGCTCGTCACAGATCACGGAGGACCCCAGGACTCGTCATGCACCTACTCCTCCTCCTCCTCATCCTCCTCCTCCTGCACATCCTCCTCCTCCTCCTCCTCCTCCTCCTCCTCCTCCCATTCCTCCTCCTCCTACTCCTCCTCATCATCATTATCAGCATCATCATCCTTTTCCTCCTGCACTTCATCCTCCTCCTCCTCCTCCTCCTCCTCCTCCTCCTCCTCCCTCTCCTCTTCCTCCTCGCCCCATCGCCGCCGCCCAAACCATAGGGCACCAACCCGGAACGGCCAAGTCCTCCTCCCTGTCCTCCTCCTCCTCCTGCTCTTGGTCCTTTTCCTCCTCCTCCTCCTCCTCCTCCTCCTCCTCCTCCTCCTCCTCCGCTCCTCCTCCTCCTCCTCCTCCTCCTCCTCCTCCCCCTCCTCCTCCTCTTCCTCCTCCTCCTCCTCCTCCTCCGCCTCCTCCTCCTCCCTGTCTTCCTCCTCCTCCTCCCTGTCCTCCTCCTCCCCCTCCGCCTCTTTGCGGGGCTCGCCGTGGACTTAGGAGGCCCTTGGGACTCGTCCTCCAGGGCTCTCGCGGGGGAGGCCTCAAAGGTGGTGGCGGCCTTCGGTGGGGGAGGGGAGGGGAATGCAGAGCGGGAGGAGGAGCAGCAGAAGGAGCAACAGGAGGAGCAGCAGGAGCCTCACGCTCGGGTCAGAAACTCCAGCGCGGCCCTCCGAGTAGGGCACCTCGCAGTGAGCCCGCCCGACCTGTGCGCACCGCAATAGCCTGCAATCGCCACAACGCGCATGTGAGCACCAAAGCATGCCTTTCAGCACCACGCCATGCCTGTGAGTTCGGCGCCACAACAGGTGGGGAGCCCGCGAGCGCCACAACACGTTCGTGAGCACCGAAGAATGCCTCTTCAGCACCACGCCCTGCCTGCGAGCACGGCACCATACCTCCTGGGGGTCCGCCCCCCAGCATGCAGGGGGGGGGTCCAGCCCCCCCACCCCACCCCACAGTACAGTCGTTAGGGTCACAACAGGGGGGAGAATTGGCCCAGGTAACGAGCCTGACCCTGGGGAGGAAAACACATGCTCACCAGGAACCATCCAACGTGTTTTCGCGATCGTCCCGCTCTGGGGCGTTACAAAAACCCACGCGCTGTCATGCGTGTCCCGCCCGGGGGCGTTCGGAACCCACATGTTCGCGCTTGTCCCGCTCTGGGGCGGTAGGAACCACGTGGTTTCACGATTGTCCCGCTCTGGGGCGTTAGGAACCTAGGTGGTTTCGCGCCTGTCCCGCTCTGGAGCGCTGGGAAGCCAAATGTGTTCATGTTTGTCCCACCCTGGGGCGTTAGAAACCCACGTGTTGTCAAGCTTGTCCCGCTCTGAAAAGCTAGGAACCCATATGTTTTCACGTTCGTCCCGCTCGGATCGTTCGGAACCCACGCGTGTTCACACTTGTCCCGCCCTGGGGCGTTAGGAACCATGTGGTGTCAAGCTTGTCCCGCTAAAAAACGTTGGGACATCACGTGTGTTCACGTTTGTCCCACTCTGGGGCGTTAGGAACCCACGTGTGTTCACGCTTGTCCCGCTCTGGGGCGTTAGGAACCATGTGTTGTCATAGTTGTCCCGTTCTGGGGCGTTAGAAACCCACGTGTGTTCAGGCTTGTCCCGCTCGGGAGCGCTAGGAACCCACGTGTTTTCATCACTTTTCTCCCACCATGAAGCTTTAGGAACCCACGAAAGATCCCGTCTGTCCCGCTCCAGGGCGTTGGGACACGCGTTTTCACGTTTGTCCCGCTCTGGTGCGCTCGATGCATAAATATATGGGACTATACGCAATACAAAAAAAGATTCGCACCCCAAAAGAGGTTAAATCTAGAGGACAAAAGAAACGTCTCCTTCGAGGCTTCCTCCGCAAAGTCTGCAAATGAGCGCCTCGCTCGAAACATCCGCAACAGACGAACCTTTTAGCCATACCTCGTGTTTTATCGAGAGGAACTTTATATTCAAAAAGTTTCGCCCAGGACATCGTCAATGTTTAACCAGCCAGCCCTACGCGACCTCATTACACATCGCACATGAGTCCACCAGCCCTATGCGAAATTGGCACTGGGGACCAGTTACCCACTAAAGAAAAAACTTGCACGTTTATGCCTTGATACGGGGAAGAAAATCAACAAAAGTCTCCACGCGCGCGTCATAGCGCGTGCATGTAGAAATCTGTCCAAAAACCTTCGCGCGCATGAAGATGTCAAGATCGATGTTCTCGAAAACCGATCACAGCAACCTGTGGCAATAATTGCATTGCCTAAGCAAATCTGCGCGCGCAATTGTTAATCCGGACGATACCAAAAAAAAAACTCAACCTGCGTCTGCAATAAAACCACGCGGGCCTCTCGCGCACGTCGGTCGCGCGCGCATGTCAAAATGTCTCCAACACCTTCACTCGCGACACATGGGCCTCATCATCTTCACCGGTGTTACCTGCATCGGCGCCGTCATTGGCCTTGTC